AAAGTGACTAGAATATAACGACTATATTGTCATGCACTACAGTCTTTCTTAGAGCCCAACACTGAACCCTCGCAGCATACTCCATGGTACTTCGCCATGAATCATATTGGCTAACAATTACATAGAAGTTTATACCTTCTTTATTCCTTCCTTTTTTTGTTTGTTCGATAAACCGTTTTTTTTTTCTTTTTGTTTTTCTTCTTTTAATCTGTTTTTCTAAGCACAAGGAGATCGGAATTATCGCTTGTAGATCGATTCTTCTCGAGTTAAGAGGGATCTGAGGGTCCACCAGAGGACGGTCTGTCGAATCTCTCCGATCTATCTTCAATTTCTTCCGTCTTGTAGCTTCCCTCACGGACTGCGGTAACCGAAGAAACGGTCGTCGAAGCATCCGGTGTCTCGTCGTTTACCTTTCTTTTATTATGGCTGTTGCTACTCGTCGAATCAGTGTCGTCCACGTATATTCGTACGTCGGAGCCGATAGTAGAGCAAACTGCTTCTGGTATGTGTACAATGGCACATCCACTTCTGCTACCGTTGCCACTTGCGCTACTGCTTCCACTCCCGCTGATACTCGTGCTCCCAATTATGCTATCGCTCATGTTACCGGCCGACATCGGTGACACTTCCTCAGATCTCTCCTCGGCCACGTAGATGTGGCCGTAGCTTCCGGTCCGAATCGACGAACCGTACTGATCGCTGTTCGACATCCCCGTCGAACTTCCGCTCTTCAATTTGGACGGTCTCCTTTCGTTAATGATAGACTGCACGTCGAGATCGTCTGTCGGTGGAGCCGATACCCGTCTCTCGTTTTTCACTTTCGTATCGTCAGGCTTGCCGGTGTTGTTCGCGCCGTTCTTAGCATAACCGTTCATCACGCTGGTTGTTTTCGAGGCGTTACTTGCACTCCTGACGCTCACGTTCGTGTCAGATTGCGAATGCATGTCGCCCGATGCCCTGCCACTCAACGTTGCTTTGGACGGGTAAATATTGGCTGTTGGCAGAAGATAACGTTCGCTGCTTAATTTGGGACAGGTTAGAGTGGTTACTGAACTGGCTTGTGTCACCGGGGAAGAATTTGCTGGAAGCTTGCTGACGCTCAACAGGGACTTGTTTTCTTGCCCATCGCTGGTTGCCTGTGAACATAGATCGATCCAGGAATGCATATTCTTTTCTTCGATTAAGAACGTGGCTTTTATGTGAATTCAACTTTTTTTTTGTACAGAGGGATAATTTTACAAACGAAAATAAGACAAAAATGAAAAATAATGAAATTGTCTTTGAGGCTTCGTTTTTTTCTTATTAACATTTTAAAATATCCCTGTGATCGAGCAAACCTCCTTACACCAAATTGTACTCCCTCTATTAGAAAGTAAAATATTGCCTATAATTGAGAAACTATTAATGAAAGTAAATTCTTGACTAATCATGCTTATGATTTATGGTCTCCAGTATTAGTAAAAAAATAATTTTACCTGTAACCTTTGACGCTGCGCGTGTGTGGTATCTTGCCTTGCTGCACCGTAGCTGCGTTGAGGAATAATTCGAGGCACACTTAGATTGCTCATAGGCTTCTCGAAAACTTCGGCAACTTCGAAATGCATCGGCAGTAGGGATCTCCTCTGATGATGTCCCGAGTGAAACGTTTGTCGACGTTTCGATTTAAACTTGGACGGTCTTGAACTGGAACGATGATACGAACTGCGCCGCGATAATGTGCCGTCTGTAACTATTGTTCCATCTGTAACAAAGTTATAAATGGAACAAATTGTTCCATCTGTAGTAATACTAGTCGATCGACAAAGTGACGAAGTAGAAATAGACAAAAGTGGAAAACGAACAGAGATTCGATACCTGATGATAAATGACCTGACTGTAAAAGTCACAATTAGATCATTTCTCAATTTTGTCCATTTCTTCTCCATTACTGCAAACACCTCTACTTCGTCTTAAAATACGTAATTCTCAAGGAAATAGTTCTCAACGTTCTATTTCACAATTCATTCGAATATGTAGAAGGAACGCAACTGCAAACGTACCGTCTGCACTTCTCTCCCGTGGTGGATTATAAATAAAATTCGCAGGCAAAGAACGAACTTTAGCAAGACCAGGTCTGCTAGGAGGAACCTTCTCGTTCGTAACTAGAATAGACTCGCGTTCTCTGACGTCGTCGTCCTCCTCTATAACACCGTCACCTCCTCCTTCTCGTTTCTCCGTTTCCTCGTCTTCTTCTTCCTCTTCTACATCCAACAGTTCTTCTTGCTCCGCGGCCAATTCCCTTTCCAGCTGTGTTTCCATGTCAAGTTCGTCTTCCATCTAAAAAGCAAATTTGATATTAAGATTTTAAATTGATCATAATTATCTGCGAATTAAAAAGCAGGTAAAATGTTCTTGCCTGTTTGTGACTCTCTTCGAGGTGTTTCATGAGCACGGCAACGACAACGTTCACAAGAACAAATTGTGCCATCAACACGAAAATTACAAAAAATATGGGGGCTATGATAGTGCTCACGCAGCAATTCTTCACGCAGTCCGCTGCTTCGTCACAGTCGTCCCTTAGAGTGTCCTTCATTATACCGTTCCAATTATCACCGGTGGCCACTCGAAAAAGTGTGAGAAACGCCATACCGAAATTACTGAAATGAGCATGCTCGCCGAGACCTTGACAGGGCATATCGTCGTTACATTCTATAACAAATAGTGTACATATATTAGAAATTAGACGCATAATAAATTAATACTAAAATTTGTCGAGTACTTTTTTTTCAATTACAATTAAACGATGATAAGAAGAAAAGGAAAGAAACTAGTTGTTCGTTCTTTTAAACGAAATATGTAAATTTGTTTCAATATTCACCTAAACGACCAAACAGTTCTACACCAAGAGCTGCGAAGATGAAGAAAAGCAGAAAAAATAGAAGTCCTAAATTTCCGACTTGTGGTAACGCCTGCATTACCGTGTCTAAAAGGGCTCGTATTCCTTTTGCCATTTTCAGCAACTTCAGAACTGCAAATAGAATTTAAAAACAATTAATACCTTGATTTCTCCTTTCTATTCTAAACTTTACCTCTAGCAATTCGTAAAACTCGCATCACCCGAATGATAGTGGGATTGATTGGAATGATTTTTGATTCAACTTCCTCGAGAACTATACCGACCACCGATAATATCACGATTCCTACATCTAACTGGTTCCATCTGTAATTAAATATTCATTTTTAAGATTTCATTTCACAGTATATATTAGCAAAAAGAAATGAAGAAAAAACGGGAAAAACGCTTAAACATCTCGTACTTGTCCTTAAGATAAAGGTGTAAACCCAAGGCAAGAAGCTTCATGAAAGATTCAAGGATGAAGACTGCGGTAAAGAAGTAATTAAATATTTTTAGAGCGTAAGTCAAAGCCTTTGGCATCATATAGAACTCCATTGCCATAGTAACAACGTTCAGGCCGATTACCGCAGCAATTGCTAAATCGAAATACTTGGATGTCACGACATTATGAACAAACAGCCTGGATTTTGAATAATTCGTATAGTAGGGTGGCTCGTGCATTTCTGAAAATTGAACATTTTCATTTTAATAACGATTCCCTATTTTACGTTTGTATTAATTAAATATCAATACATTGCCATTAAACTTTATGTATTACTCCTACATAATTCTATTTCTACTTCGATGAAGTTAAAATTGAATTCTCTTCGTCTTACTTCGCCGTTTCTTTTCCATTTGCAAGGCTCGCTTAGCCGCTCTCCTTACACGTTCCTCTTTCTCCTGTTCCTCGCGACATCTGTGAAAATTTTCCACCACGACGCCTACGAACATGTTAAGGACGAAAAATCCCACAAGCAGGATGAATGCTATAAAGTACAACAGTCGCCATTCTGAATAATTCTCAATTGGCTGAAACAGAAACGAAGGGACGTTGTAGTTTTTAATATACCGGATCTCTATTACACTAATAGAATTTGATTTCGCATGAAAAAGTAGAGGGAAAATATAAAATAACATTTCTTAATGTGACTCTTTGTTTTCGAACGAAAATAACTTTAATCGCTAAATATTACACACGGGTATGTCACACCGTGACGTTGGTTTTGAGAATCACTGTACACCCTGTGTCTCGACGTGCCCTACATTCGTTAGTGTCAGGTGGGTTGCTCGACCACAGGGGTATTTTTAAGTATTAATAACTAAAAAACGAAGGCTCAAACGCAATTTTGTTATTCTTAAGTTTCGTCTTATTTCGACTTGTAGAATCATCCCTCAAATTTTCAACCAATAATTGCCAAACAATCTGTATACAGGGTGACCCAATTGAAATCTTTCCCCGCGATATTTTTCTTGGAAACAAACATTTCTATTTCGTCAAAACCAACATAAACCTTCGAAAAATAATCTCTTAACGAGAAAATAAGTAACTAAACCCTACATTATGTGCATATTAACGTAACGCTGTCGAGACTAACAGTTTTGCTTTCGACTCTATATGTCTTCTAATATTTATAAGATTGCAAAAATCATTGTTATCAAGAAAAAGGCAACGTTTAAGATGCACTATAGAGTAAAGGGGCGTACACGACCCACACGGTACGGAACGTGTTAACAGAAGTGGTAATATATTACCATAGATTATAACATGCAAATGTAGTTGGAGTACTTAAGCATGTTACCTGTTGATCGACACCGACAGCATCAAGTCCAGTGTACATAATGTTCACCCATCCATCCCTCGAGGAGAGTACGAACAGTGACATCAGTGCTTTTCCAAGATCATCAAAATTATACTTTCTGTTCAGCCAAACGTTCCGTTTATCGGCCAGGCAGTCCGTCTTATTGCGAACATTTTTTATATCAGGCCCCTCGCAATAGTAAAAGGCACCTTTGAAGAGCTGCACGCCCAAGATACCGAAGATTACGAAAAAAGTACAGCATATCAAAACGATGTTGCCAATAGGTCGTAAAGAGGATAACAATGTCTGAACAACCAACTTCAAACCAGGAGCTCGATTAATCACCCGTAACGGTCTTAGTGACCTTAAAAGTCTAAAAACCTGCAACGAGAGCAATTAAGTGTTACGGCTGTTCAACGATATGTAAACAATACGAAGAATAATTTTTAACATCGAACGAATGTTTTTTTTCTTTTTAATTTTCAACTCCAAATTCTACATCCTTTCACTCGGTTGTAAATTATCAAATTCGAAATGTAATTGCAAACGCAACGAAAGTGACCACTTGAGGAAGTAATTTTTGGATAAATGCTGAAACAACGATGAGCAACCCGCGGCTCGTTAATTAGTCACTCTATATTCTCCTTCAAAAATTAATCGCGACATTGATCTATAAAAAATTCGCTGTTGCCTATGTTGAAAATTGAAAAGTTACGAATTTTTAAATTACTAAATTAGGTGTTTTCTAAGATTTCAATCGCAGCGGCCTGTATAATTTTGAGACACCCCGGTGTATCGGAAAATACAGGTAAAAGATAAACCTACCCTCAATATTCCAAATATCCTCGGACTACTCGACGATAGTACAGACATTGATAAGTCAATTATAGAAATAATCACAAGAACTCCGTCCATAATGTTCCAACCTGAAGTAAAATAAGCGTCGGAGCCGTACAGCATACCAGATGCAACAACCTACGGTGAAAACGATACATTTCATAAGATATATTTGAATGTTTTACTTTTGAAAATTTTTTCAATTCTTTCTAATTGTCGTAGCTTTAAAGTTTGTCACCTTAATGAACATCTCAATGGCAAACACTCCAGTAAAAATGTAGTTAGCAGTTGATAAAAAAAGTCTTTCACCGCTATCTGGCGGAATATTTGGCCGTTCCATTGCCAGTGTAATACAATTCAGACCGATGAAAAAAAGAACCATGTTATCGAACCATTTCTGATCGACTAACCATCGACAGAGAACGCGAAATCTGAAATAATGATCGATCAATGCTTTATTGCGAATCTGTAGTAATTTAAAAAACGTGTTCTTAATTATACACGAAGTTACAAAAAAAATGTTTCATTAAAAATTTACCTCGATTACACTGAATTTCGAAACCGAAAAATTTTTTGCAAACTTAATATTCCATCGCTCTTAATATTGAAAATGTTTTAAAATTTTTCTTCAAAATTCTCAATATTCAAAGATGTGTTGTTACAAATACGAAATTACTTTAGTCGTTGCAAATAATAAAGAGCAATATCTTCGAATGTTATCAAATTTAGGTACTTTTTGTTCGTAGGTTTAAAAAAAATTTTAAAACCTTCCTGAATTCTTATTGCATAATTATAAATTATGGTTATTTCGAAAGCGACAATTTCTCAGAACCATCACAAGTATAAGATAAAACCGTGGATTATAGTAAATGTTAACATAAATATATACAGTGGGTGATCAAATTAATAGAGCCATCTGCAAAGAATTGACGGTTTTGCATTTTAACGACGAATTTTTAGATGAAAGCCTAGTTACACTGAATTCTTATTTTCTTTATGAAACATTCCCGACTAGAATTTCAGTTAGGCAGATATTAGGTCCACATTAGGCTAGCCTAATTTGCCTGAATATTTGCGGAATATTCACGACCGCCTAATTGGGAAAGCCGCGTTAGGTCCGCATTAGGCTTTCCCAATGAAGCCAACCGCATTAGGCCCATATTAGAATAGTTTCATTAGGCTGTCATTGGGAGATATTAATGAAATCTCTTTTATCTTGCTGAAAGCTCTCTTATGGCGACCTAACCTCTACACTCCACCCAATTTAGGTGTGCGCTCGGCCATCCCCATTTCAGCCACATATGGCAACTCTTAGGAATGCCCAATCTAAGCGTGCGCTCGACCACGCCCATTTGGATCACGCATGGCAACTATTAGAAATGCCCAATCTAAGCGTGCGCTCGACCACGCCCATTTGGGCCACGCATGGCAACTATTAGGAATGCCCAACTTAGGCGTGCGCTCGACCACGCCTATTTGGGCCACGCATGGCAACTATTAGGAATGCCCAATCTAAGCGTGCGCTCGACCACGCCCATTTGGGCCACGCATGGCAACTGTTGGGAATGCCCAACTTAGGCGTGCGCTCGACCACGCCCATTTGGGCCACGCATGGCAACTATTAGGAATGCCCAACTTAGGCGTGCATCATTCCTTCCGAATTAGGACCTAATACGGTAACGATTAAGCTTGCAGCATTTAGGTGTGCGCCACGCATGGCAACTATTAGGAATGCCCAACTTAGGCGTGCATCATTCCTTCCGAATTAGGACATAATACGGTAACGATTAAGCTTGCAGCATTTAGGTGTGTCTAATCGTTTCCGCATTAGGCCCACATTCGTCTTTACGCATGCCTAACTGAAATTCTAGGGTTGACATTTGCAAATTGCAAATACACACTTGGCAACACTTTAGGCAATATTATCTGTCGTATGGACGTTATTTTGTATCGGTACTGCAAATCGCCACTTGAGAACCACGTGTTACAGTTTCATTGTTTTACAGATCTTGAGCATTTGAATTTTTGTCGCATTTTACTACTTATAATGCATAGTGAATCACTTAAAATGTGTCGAAGAAAGAACGAAGGCTGTAATTGCAACAAAAGGTAGCGCTACCAATTACTAACTTCATTCTTATTTCTTACCTTAATTTTTTACAGCTACATAAGCTAAATTTAACTTTCTATATGAATATTTAGTGGACCAATTAAAACTTAAAAATTCAAAATATTTCAAAAAATTCGAATAAATGAAAAATTATTCAAAGTAAAAACCTCGATATTGTGATTTTATTTCTACGCAAACACGAAAAACATATTTTTCGTACAGTGGCTCTAATAACTCGATCACCTGCTGTATTTTGTATTACACGATAATTGTCGATAATTGATCGCTGAGCATTAGAAATACCTGTTATTTGGTGGAAAAATGTAAAGCGAATAATCATCACGTTCTTTAAGGCAACCTTTAGGTTCAAAAAACATGAAGATCTTTTTAATTCTCTCGATACTGCTCGCACTTCCGTGACCATTCAAGGATGGCGTCTGTTCGTCTGTACGAGGATTGTCGTCGTCTTGATCGGGAAGTTGTTTAATTCTGGGCAGTGGACCAGCCTCCATTGACAAATTGTTGATTGTACGAGCCGTAGAGCATTGCATAGGCACCTCGTCTAGAGGTAAAGTTTTCCTCGTCGGTGACTGAATACTTTCGTTTCCACGTAACGAGTTCCTCCGCGAAAGATCGCTAATCCATCGCATCTTTAACACATATTAATCGCGATAATCAAACTCGA